ATTTCGTTGACACACTTTCAAGAAGAACCTATTTCTGGGATACCGCAGTCCCATGTGGATCAGAAAATAGCCACAATCTAGTACAACTAAACCCTGATGAAGATAAATATTACCTTCTCACCCCATATCCCACATTAATGCAATCACTCAAAAAATTTTCACCAGAAAGCATTCGCGCTATCGCTCGAAACCCAAATATAGACTTACAATCAATAGGAATATACTCAAAATCAGATATTCAACATCACATTAGAACACAACAATTCCAAGAATTATTAACACAAATGGACACAATACAAAGACAATCAATTGACCAAAACTTACGCAAACTTGCCGAAACCGCAGGATTTGCAGACATCTATACGCAAGACTATAGCGGATATTTTAAAGACATTAAAGATTATATATATCTAAACGGTGAAAAATACCGTCCCCAAGATATATCACCTATCAATATTTTTAGCTTTGTTACACTCAAGAATGAAATTCTTGATTTTCTAGGATGGCCCTACTACATCTTAGAAAAACTGACTATTTTATACGCAATGTTTAACTTTATTGGATTTCTTTTTTCACTCTTAAAAGGAATCTATAACACATGTGCTATACACACACAAGTCAATAGACAAGCAAGTGTAGCACGCATACTATTTGCAGGATTTTTTGGAATTTTTTCTACATCAATGAACAAAATTCTTTTAGATGCACAAATAAAAGAATACAACACAAAAATAGCAACAAGACAGAACACATACGACGAAGAACATAACAATGTAGACACAACGCCAACAGCACCACAGTTACCACCCCTACCACATAACCATCCATTATCCCTAGTCCCACGTAATTTTCGAAACTTGGCAATAACACATAATCCAAATTTTAGACCAACCATATCACAAAGTCCCATCCAACATATAATGACACGCCACTCACAAGATGAAAATACTTATGAACAAATTATAGAACAACCCCATACCACCGCTTTTCAGTCTCAAAATAATAATTTTTTAGCCCACGATGAGCCGACAACTTGGATCCCTACACCGTTCAAATTCCCACCCAACCAACCTCACTACTCCAATTACAATAATACCACTTTTTGCTTTCCCGCCACCCGATTTCCCAACCAGTAATGTAACATCAGGCATGAATTCCGATACTAATTCACACATCTCAGTTTTATATTGCACATCACAACTCAATAACCCGAATATTGAAACCCCCGATGAATTTGCCGACTCTGAACCATCTCCATCCAATAATTTTCCCACCAACCCCTCAATTTTTTCCCACCCCCCTTTTCAACCAATGCTACCAAATAACCCCGTCCCCACCAATTCTACACCCTCTTATGCTTCCCAAGTCACTCCAACCTATTCTTCACATCATTCAGACCGATCATCCAATTCTCCAGATACCCCCCAAATCTCCCCAGAACTAGATAATTTTATTACATTACAACAACAACCCTACCACCTTGATACCCCCACCATAAACCAAATTTCATCCACAATAGATTCATCCAACCCTCCTACCCCTACACCCTATTCAATTTATACCGAATCATTAGCACCATCATCCACATCTACTGAATCTTCACTCAGCACTAATAGAGCTTACCGCACTTTTAAAAGAAAGTTCCCCAACCATCCTTTCCCAGCAAAACCAGGAACAGCCCGTGAATATATAAATCACCCAAATCACACTAATACAAAAGAATTTTTAGCTATCACCTTACCCTCATTTCCACAATACACCTTAAACACCCCTCACGACACTAACGAGACACGTAACTTTGTAGACGAACACGTTTTAATGCCTACCCTTCCTTGGACCTCATATTATCATTTTACTAATCCCCTTTGCTTACCTTTATCTAACACTCACATCGATATAGAACGAAATAAGGACATCCTATATCGACTCACTACACCACTAACACCTAGACAATTTACTTACATCGGATATAAAAAATCACTAAAAACATACACTGCACCCCGAGCTAACGAATATACGCTGGAATATTACGATCATAACATCATCAGAACTAACCAAGATCAATTCTTAGACGACGATCGCTTCGCTAACCCACAAATCACAGAAAAATTTTTCATTAAAACACCATATGTATTTACACTCAATATCTTTGACCGCAAATTTGACCACATCATTTCAGAAGCACTAACAGACACACAAGCTTACGAAAGTTTTAAAGAACGCTTCCAAATATTTTCACTAACCTTTCATTTCCTTGCACCACATGAAAGAGATTTGCACTGCTCACACGATATTATGTTGCGCACTAAACAAACTCACACATATACATATTATCGTTTTATCCAAAATCACTTCGACCTACACACCCCATCCAGACAACCACACCACCGTTTTCAATTCATCAATTCCAAATACACCTCACCATTCTTTCTTAACTTCACATATTGCATTAAAGATACTAACCTTCATGGTATTCTTCGAAATTATGATCCCATAACCCAAATGTATATTTTTTGTCCCATCACCAAGACCTTCAACGCAGAAGAATCCCGACCCTTTCTCCTCCCACACGAATTTGTTCAACCTATAGAAATCCCCATTTTAGAATTCATCCACAACACTAAATTCAATCACAAATTATATAATCTAATCCAAAACACACCTTATGAGTTTGCAGTTGGCACTGAAGAACTAACCACCATTAAAGCACTTCAATTGCTTTGGCCACTGCTTCAAACTAAAAATATCATCCGCATCCTAGCTAAATTACTAACAACTTCAGATCTCATCCACGACATCTTCCCCCACGGTTTCTTCCCCGACGACTAACAGGTAAGTATGAACTATACATATTATTAACTAGTTATTAAAATTAGAAACTAACCATTCTTTATTCATGTCTTCTTTAGAATTTTAGCCTTCATCCAACGATCATCTGAAAAATTCACAAAAGAAAATGAAAATTAAAAACTTCTTCAAACTGTTTAAAACTCTATTAAATTTTTGCACCAAATAATTAAATAAAAATAATACCAATGCAATAATTTAATTTATAAATTTTTTCCCAAATGCAGTAAATCTAATAATGATGAAAATTTGTAACTTAATTTTCCCCAACAACTAGCAGTAAAATTGAAATTCTATGTAGTACATTAATAAGAAGCAAATGCAGTACTAACCTTTTGATATTTTCATTCACTCGCACAAGAATTCTATCCAAATTCGCACAGCTCGCCCACGAAGAATTGTTTAAATAATGAATTTCAGTTTCAAGCTTTCACACTCAACAACTCTAACACACGATAACAAGTTTCAAACTTTCCTTTAACCCGGTTGGAAAGGAATTATATACTAAACAAAACTAACCAATGCAGCTTACTAAACACCACAACACATAGCATAACAGCATGACTAAGAAAAGGAAACCAACGGTACCCAAACCGGATTAACCCAGTTTAAAACTGGATAATTTATTCTTTTGAAGACTATTATAAAGTCTAAGAAAGAAATAATAAAACACAGAAAAGTCGAAAGACAAACCCATACCACAAACAATTTGATTTTTGAAAAAAGGACACAACCAACAAAACATAAGAAAAACCACAACAAACCCAACATAAAACGTTGTCACATAACAGGACCTCTCACAAAAACCGCATGCAACCATACTCCCACTCCTGGCCTAACCCACCAGAAGAGGACGTCCTGAGCATGCTCTATAGCCGGCCTAACCCACCGCGCTACATCCACGCTTTGTGACACACACTCCTATTTTTAATAAGAGCTACTCAAGGGTGAGTAACTCTTCAAAATAACTGAACTAAAACAAAAAGCTTTTGTGAAAACAACTAACCAAAATCATAATTAAAAAACATTAAACTAATAAAAGTTTTATAAAATGTAAATTATATTATGCAATATATAGATCAGCATACAACACCAAAGACGAACATCCAAAGACAAAATGAACCCACTACACTCGAAAAAGAATGGCCAACCACAATCAATATGCCGCCCACAATCACAACTCAAAGGATTTAGAGTACGACTTGACTTCGCAGAAAAGGACTTCATTGAACTAGACCAATGACCACCTCGATGTTCAAGTATACGTACAGATCCGAGTAACCAGGCATCCCCTCCAGGCACAATCTCCACGCCATTCCCAGAAAAGATCAAAACACAAAGAAGTTCTCATCAATGAAACAGAAAAACCTGACATAGCCAACCATTCTGAAATCAGATTTGAGTTTGTTGCGAAAACCCAGTCGTTGTCATGAGATGACACAACGATCGAACCTGGAACTTCTCTAACAAGAGAACCCAGAAGAAATATGATGTTCGCCAAACACCAACGTCCATCATCCATCCTTTGAATTACAGAAAGACTATTCTAAAAAACTCTGCAAAACCCGGATGGGTGGAACCTGATCTAAACTACATTTTATGATTGGATAAATTAGATATTTTACCAATGTAAAGTATTTAATATTAACCAATCATGATCCATCTGACTAACAATCCACTTATTTGTAAGTGCTGAAATTACTTGTAATTTCAGCACCAGAGAGATTTGAATTTAACTTAGAAATTAGTTGACTCTCCAAGAAGACTTCAGCAACCGCAATAAACCAGTATACCCTAGATCTATTGAGCCTAGCAGAGACTAGTTAAACAACCTGAGACTAGATAGTATAAGAGTAAGATTAGGATTGGTATTAGACTAAGAAGTTGCACGAATCTATCCGGCCGAAAATAAGATAGCGTGACGAGCAGACGGTGTGCCCTATCCGAAATTACTCTATGAGTTATACACTTCGGTCATAACTCATCACAGTTACTACAGGAAACGTTACTAAGAAAACATTTCCCGCATATCTATGACCTATGGGGTTAATAATAACAACGTCGGTGATATCTTGATATTGTTTTAATTTGCTAATATTTTGAAATGCTCTTCCTGTTGTGTTTTTCTGGATTGAGTGTGACATTATGTTTAGCAGAAGAAAAAGAGTGGTTCTATGCCTGTGTGTGGGAGTGACCAGATGGAGCGACTGCCCTTCAGTGTGTATGGGAGGAGTCCTCTGGTGGCCCACTGGCTCCACTCAAAATCCCTAGCCGGCAAATCCCAACACACCACCGGACCCAACACCATGATCAGAGTGCAGGTGGAAAAACTCAAGTGAGTCATCAGTTAAACAAGTGTGTATGCGCGTGGTGCTGCCCCTCTTCGAGGATGAGAGACAGGGGAAGCGGGGTCTTTGATAACATGTAGCCCGTTTGCTTCAATTCTTTCGAACGTATTGTGAAAAATACTCCTTCGAACGTATTGTGAAAAATACTCCTTCGAACGTATTGTGAAAAATACTCCTTTCTTTTGAGCTCAAAAACAATTTCAATAGGTTTGAATACATTTTTGTTATCTTTATTCTCAATTAACGAGTGCACTGATTGAAATTGCATCGAGCTGCTAGTGTACAGTGCTGATTTAACCCTATTTGGACGAGGTACTTAAAACGTCAGCGAAACTTGATCATTTTTCGCATTTGGGCACCTATTGGCAACCATTAATTACTAAAAGTGCGAGAATTTTAAAATTGCAATCCAGTGACTATGAATTTAATTCGGCTCTTTTTCGTACCAATTAGCGCATGTCGTCCATCCGACGGGCGGTACGAATAAGTACCGAACCCGTTTTTTGACTGATTTCTTTTTGAAAAAAAAACAAGTTTTTGTTTAAAACATGATATATTACACCCCATGGAATTGTTTTAAAGCAATTCTTAGCAGTTATACACAAAAATACATCACATTTCTCGCGTTTCGTAACCGGACGTGCATCACAAGTTGGGAGTTTACAGCGGGGTCCCCTTTCGGATGCAACTGGCCAGTGGCCAACATTATCGGTCCGAATATCTGGCGCGGGCGTAGGGGTCCGTCTACCTCCGCGCTTTCGCTAAGCGGCGATCTGTTGATCGACTGTACTGTGCCGGCCAACACCGCGCGAACTCACATTGACCCTCATCAAACTGGAAGCTAGCTGGCTTTTGAAAGCAAACAGACTCAGCCGGTCTTTCACTGTTACGTTATCCAATTCGCAATCGCGGCGATATACTGCCCAGCAATTGGTGGCGATCATATTGACAAAGTGGAGAAATATCTTGATGTAGTATCTGGCTCTGGTTTGTGTAGTCATTCGGTATCTGGCAATATATGAGTTTACTTCATCTACGTGACCCATATGGTTGTTGTACGCCAGAGTTGCAGCTGGTGCTCTAACCTTTATGTATTGACGACGCTTACGGTCAAAGCGATCTAGCTCAGCAACCGGCAAAGACGCAGAGAAGGTGCTCAGAAGATGCACGTACCGGTTGTCCATCCAACGTATGGCATACACATCTACGCCATCCACCAATGCAGCTTTTACTTCAATTGTTCCCCGGGGCATGGCACTGGGACCACTGCTAAAGACAAGTCCCTTTGCTCGATTAGGCTGGAGGGTGCCTATCGATTGTAGGCCGTCCTTGGCCAATGCGACTAGTAGTTCAGGCGAATTGAACCAATTGTCGAAATACAACTTGAAGTTTTTGTGTTTTGGAATGATTTTTGCTAGCCTCACAACTACCATCCCTGATTTTCCCACCTTGTGCGTGTTGTCGTTGTCCACAACTGATCCATAAAATTCTATCTTGTGAATCACACCGGATCGCCCAGACAACACAAATATTTTGAACCCCCATTTTTTCGGTTTTCTCAGATTGTACTGTCTCAGCGAGGATTTTTTAACCTTGTACGCCACGATCTGCTCGTCGACTATGGGCTGAAACTTCGATGTCCGGGTGTGTTCTGCATCACTTTCTTCGAAATGTAGGCTTCTGGTTATGCCCTCGAATGTATCACGCGTCATCGTGTCTGCTATCTGTGACGCTCGCGAATGTGTCTCCCAGTACCGCCGAGACGCACGTAACTTGATCAAAGTCATCATCAAGTTTAATCCAAGATATTGTTGAAGTTGAATAGAAGAAACATGAAAAGTGGTCGAAGGATCTTTACTAACCCTGTATTGAATTGATTTCAAAACCAACTCATCCAGAAAGTCCTCTGAGAAATATTCTCCAAAGTATTAGAACGGTGTCTTTACTCCTGTTGGTTCTGCGATTTTTCCTCCAAACGATACACAACTCGGTTTGCCTGATTAAATAAAAAAACAAGCAAACACATTTTTGAAAATATATAGCAGAATGAAATTTTTTCCCTCGATTTTCATTTTTCTATTTGGGCAGAACCACCAGCGGATTTAGGGGTGACCCCCCCCCCCACCCCAGGGATCCGATTTCGACCCCTTGCCGACCCGATGAGTCCCGCCTTGGTACTATTTTGAGATGGCCATTTTTGGCTGAACCAAAATTTTTTTAAAGGCGTTTTGGCTCCAGTAAAACTAACTTTGAGGGGGAGCGCCGTCGAAAAAACGCTTTTCTTTTATCAAGTTTTTCTAAAAAGTGCCATAAAACGACTTTGTGGCCTTTTTTTTCAAAATTTTGCCCAAGACGCAAAAATTTGGTCAAAATGGGGTCTTTTCGTGATTTGGGAGAGCTCAGAAAATTTTTTTAGTCGACCGAAAAAAAGGTCGAGGGGCCTCGAGAAATTCCTAGATCCTCCCCCTGGTCAGAACCTTTCAAGATATTTGAGTGTAGAGAACGTTCCTGCCCAAATACGATAGATAGCTTTCCAATGTAACAAACAATTGATAGCTGTCCGATGATTCCACCCAGTTTTTTTTTCAATTTCCTCGCGTTCATTATTCTTTTGAAACTGTTTTAATGTTGGTTTTAAATTTACTAACTCCGGTTTTTTTTTCGTTTTTTTTTTGTTGTCTGCTCAGCTTGTACCTAATTAGCTTAGTGGAATCATATTGCATCATTGGATGAGCGAAACAAGTTTCCAAAGCGTGTGAGTTTTTTGAGGCGTACTTTATTATTTGAACGTTTTTTTTTTCATCAAAACGGTTTTTTGGCTGAAAGGGTGTCTGCTCAAAAACTTTCGGCTTTGTTACCGCTTTGTTTCGATGCAAACCAATTGTCTTATTGTCATGTTTTTTTTCTAAAATGAAATTTATTCAAGACATTGAAATAAAAAGTGATGGATCTAGTGTTTTTTTTTCCGACATTTTCAAAAAACTTCGAATTTGCGGTGTTTGTCTCAATTTCTGACTGCTAGTTTGTTATGCTATGTTTGTTGTCTAGCAAGTGGTGCAAAGCTCTGCTTCGCGTCTGTGTGCTGAAATGATTTTTGCGCTCAATTAACATGTTTTGCTAAAAGGAAGCAAATTTCGCCTTTCAATAACAAAAATGCAAAAACTGCTTTTTTTAGAATTCCCAGGAATAAAAAAATAGACCTTTCGATCAAGTTTTCTCAGATAGGGCTTGTTTCTTTGAAAAAGTCTCAATGATAAAATAATGTTCAAGTTGTCTTTTTATGTTTTTCAATTCTATAATGAATTTCAGCAGTTCTGCCAGGAAATTTATTCTAATTTGACTGTTTTATGTTTTCAGTGAAGAGACTGTGACGTTTCAAGATGTAATAGACGAGGTAAAGGACAATGCTGCGATTAGAAGGAGAGAAGTGGCACGGTGAGTTTTCTTGATTCTCTATTTCTCTGCCTTTGGTTCCCAGTAACGAATTGCCAGTCCTATAGTGAAAATTAAAAAAAAATATATGCGGTTAAAAATATGCGAATTTTGTACTTAGTAATGAATCTCCCCCTTTTGCTCTATTGTTGGGAAATGGAATCAGATTAATCAATGCGCGTGTTGTTAAATCTACTCCAGATCAAATTTAAAAAAAAAACATTTATCGCGTTGATTTATTTACCTTAAAAGATACAGGCACTCTTTTTGATCATGCTCTTTTTTGGTAGACTATCAAAATTTCATCTGTTTTGTTGAATTATTAAACATAAGTATTGAAAATAAAGGTTGTTGCTAGTGATATGCACGGAAAGACTCCTATGATGCGAGTTTCGTATTTTTTCAGGGCTATTTTTTTATATTTCGCAGACAATTTTTTGCCACTTGTTTTCCTTTTTAATAACTACCAGCTCAAACTATCTACGTTTTTACGTTATGGTTTCAGAATTGAAAAGGAAACAAAACGAGAAATTCGGAGGATCGATGAGAACTTGAAGGTACAATTGCGAAGTCTGAAGAACTTGGAGCAAAAATTGGCCAAAGACCCTTTGCCAAGTTACAGATCGAAGAAGGACAGTAGTATTAGCATTGATCGGAGTAAACTGGAAATGTCGTCAGATAACCAATATATTAATTAATTATTATTCACTGTAGATTTTGTACCATTCATCTGCTGTAAATTGTGTACATAGTAGAATTGAAAAAAACTAATGCTGGATTTCTTCGAATAGTAAGTAGCCAGTTGCCGTGCAGAAAAGTTTTTCTTGATGATTCAGGCGAGTAAAATAAAATATTCACAAGATTGAAAGCTTTTACAAGAATTATAAACAAGCCTATACTTGCCTTCACAAGTAGTCTTTATTCTTCACAAGATAGTCTTCACAAGATAGTTTTTGTTTTAAACATGCAAGGCTTAGCACGTTTTAGTTTTTCCGAAAAACAAAAGATTTGGACTGATTTTTGTGTTTTTGGACTGGTGTTTAAATCAGGTTTTGGGTTTTCGGTATAAACAATTTAGAAAAAGCTATGATATTCCGACTTAAAAAGTGACCAACAACTATTCAGTCTGAGAGAATTAAATAAGTTCAAATCTGTAATGATAAAAATGACTGAAGCTAAAATACTTATTACTTCTAAATAGCGACTGAAACGCTGCTGTTTTGGCTACAAGCATTTTTTAACTACGAGCCGGGAATAAAAATTGACAGTTGTTGAATCCAAGAGGTCATTGCTTTGTGTTCAAGTCCCGTTATCTCCAGTTTTTGGTTCTTGATGAAAGCTTTTGACTTTCATTTTCTTTTCAGTTCATTCCCTTTGTTAGAAGGCAGGCAAACTCTACTATCGAACATCAGAAGTGTTGAGATCACGATAAAGTTTTCTGTAAATTGGACATTTGTTTCACGAAAGAGAAAAACTGCTTTAAAACATTTCACGTTCGTTGAAAAAAAGCCTGCGAGCAGATAAATTAGCTCTTATCACAAACTCATGTATATATACTGGGTATCTCTTGAATAAAAATTATCGCCACGCTGAATTTGTTTCGTTGTTATCCACAGTGTAACGCACAAGTAACAAACCGGTACACGCCCAAGGCCGCAATCGTTCGCTCCAATATTTTTTTGTTGTCAAAATTGACGTTGTTTTAAGCAGAAAATTTTTTTCCGGTCAGCTCGAAAAACTTGTGCAGGGTTAAGGAAAAATTGTTTCAAATGGAGTAACAGCAGAAAATTAATTTTTTTCCGGTCAGCTCAAAAAACTTGTGCAGGGTTAAGGAAAAGATGCCAGCATAAACATTTATTAAAATTCAAAGAGCTTTACAGTGGCATATTGTTTCTTCGAAAGTGATCGTTTTTCGGTTTCTTTCTTAACACTTTTCCGATGATCAGTTGGCAAAGTTTTTAAGATTCAAATTTTGTGTTCATTTTCTGCATACTTTTGTAGCATTTGTTTTATCGGTTTTATTAAATCGCAGTAATTTCTGCCTGATTTTTGTTGTTATAAGTGTTTACTAGGTAATTTTACTAAGTTTTAATAACATGTAATGTAATATTTTTTTGAGAATCAAAGATCTTCGAGGTGATGTATTGTCTACGTTGTAACTCGGAAAAAAAGTTTGTTAATTGTAAGTTGATAAAATTAAAAAGGATTTTTTTTTTACAGTTTCAGCAAGTGCATTATCATTTTTCGACTATCCTATGGTTATTTTATTGTTTAATGCACTTGTAATTCCTGTAATTAACTGACCTTAAAAGTCTGTAAGAATAACGTGTGGTTGCTGTCAGGTCAAGTGCAAGCTGATTTACTCACTTTTCTTGAAAATTTGACTGGCATTCCTTTCATCTTAGGTAATCATTAAATTTTTTTAAACATTGCGATAAGCAAGGACATTGCAATCGCGTACTAGACTTTTATTCCCGTAAATAACTTTGTTCATAGAATGGTTATTTTAGTAGGAATGGTAAATGTTACTTCAGAAGTGCTCGAACTTTTGAAATTTAAATAAAACTGCCATCATTTAAGTGGTATTTTTTTTCGGGTTCCTAATTTTCCTCCTTATCTGTCGGTTCACTATCCGTTTATTTTACCTGGTAGTGTTTGTATTGGCTTTTTTCTGAGGCATGGATTTTGCTCCAACTTGAACAATTTTTTTACACCATAACTGGAAGTCTAGAGGTAACTTAGCCTGGAGGACGATTATGCCTGGTATGGCAAAGGTCCGGGGGTTCGAATCTAACGAGGACCTATTTTCAAACAGGAAACATTCTGTTTCAAATATAATTATTGGCATATTGTTCGTCTGATTATCTGTTATCTGCTTAGTTGTCACATCTTCGAATCGTTTTTTTATTTGCAGCGCAATTTTTTATTGTTGCTTTTAGTGTTTGTTTTACGCCGCCTACAGTTAGTAGTTTTTCTTATCCTGACTTCGTTTTTCCTTCTCTGTTTTTTTTGTTTGGCTTAATAGAAAGTTCTCAGTCCAAATTAAGTCGGCCTATTTTTCATCGACCTAGTTTTTAGTCGTTTCAAGTGAAACAAAATTTAAACACTTCCCTCTGCCCTTTTCAAGTTGGTTGTATATTTGCCCATCAGTTTGTTGAAATTTCATTTAACTCGTTTTGAAATTTTTTCTTTTTCAGAAACTTCTACTGTTTTTCAAAAACGGTTTCAATTGAAAGATCGCCCACTCCCCTGTGTGCATGCATACTCGCCTAGAGTCTTTTTCTGTTTGACCCCTCTGTCTACGGTCTTCGAAAAAATGTGGGGGTTTATTTGACCCGTATTTTTTTCGTTTGCTAAAAAACTGCCGCTCTCAAATATAAGTTTTTGGTTGCAATGAGTAGAACTGTTTTGAAATGCTTCCCTGTAACTGGTTTAGCCCAAATTGTTTTCACTGATAAAATTATGGCACTCGGAATAGTAAATTTTTTGATTTTTGACCGTTTTGTGAATCTTTTCTACTTTTTTCGAAAAGTAGCCTCTCAAATCTGATATTGTGGGCTCAATGAAGATAAAGGGTAGTGGAAGCTCTTTTGCATTAGCGGGCACTCACGAAAATTTTAAGCAAGAATTTATCGCCCTCGCAAAATTCAAATTTTGAGTTTTTGGCCGTCTTTAAAGCTTTTTGAATATTCTCGAAAACTACCCTGCCATATCTGAGATTCTGGGTTCATTTCTCAAAACGGGTCATGAGAGGCTCAATAGCTTGTGCTACTAATCCACATTTTTTGACATCAAATGTTTTGGCCGTCGCAAAAGTAAAAGATTTGACTGTTTCACCGTTTTTTTTTTGAAAGTTTTCTTGAAAGCTACCCTTCAAATTTGAGATTTTGGGTTCAATCGACAGTACATGAATTCCTGCTGCATAAGCGGCTACGCCCCATGTCACATAGAAAGCCATGACTTTCGAAAATGTCAAATTTTTGATTTGTTGACCGTGTTTTGGACTTTTCTCGCTTACTATCCTGCGAAATCTGATATCATAGGTTTAATCGAATCAACAGGTCGCTGAAAACCTACCTTTATAACTGGCTATCACCAGTTTGTTTGAGGTAAAAGTTATGGCCTTCAAACAAGTCGAAGATTTGAAACTTTGACAGCTTTTTCGCAATTTATTGACTTTACGCAAAAACTACCGGCCGAATTCTCAGGTTGTGTTCAAATCCGAAGCCGGTTTTCGGAATCTGCTCTGCTTAAGTGGCCATAACATAGTTTTTGCAGAAAAGGGTTTGGATTTAGGAATGTTTTTAGACCGTTTTTCAGACACTTTTCCATTTTTTTTTAAATTTACACAATCAAATCTCAGATTAAAAAATTATTTGAACCGGTTGCGATGATTGATCCTGCAGAATCTGCAACTCCTTAATTTTTATAAGATAAAGCTTATATCCCTAGGATTTTTGATTATCCCAAAATTTTTACTCTTACTTATTTTAGTAGAGAATCAACTACGGTTATAGACAAAGTCCAACTCTTGAAATCAATTTTTTGGTGCTGCATTAGTATAGAAAATTCATTCATTATCAAACGCGTACCTCAAGCTTTTGCTGGGCCCCTAGTTGTTTTTATCGAGACAATCGCACACTTTGGTTCATCTAATTTTTTTCAACATGTTTTTTTCGACTCATGTTGTTTTGTGTTTGTTTTGTATCGCAAGTCGTGCGAAGCTTCGCTTCGCCTCCGTGTTCATTTTTCGCCTCCGCAAAATATATTCTTATTGAATTATGTGTTTTGTTTTGGGCTCAACAGGCTTCAACCCAACGTTTGACGCCTTTGTTGCCTCTCGGTGAACGATTTCCAATTGTTTTTGAGGCTATTTATGAAATTCATCCGATGCAACCATGAAGTTTTGTGGCTGTAGTTTTCCAAACTACATCCTTCAAAAATTACGAAGCCGGTTTTGGTAAAAAGCGGTAGTTTTCAACTTTTTTCAAGTTATTTTTTGCAAGTAATTTTTTCAACTTAATTTATCAGAAGTTTTTTTTTCATTCACTGACTTGTAGCACGTATTCAAAATTTTTCCAGCTAGTTTAAAGCTGTTGTTTTCCGCTATAGGTTTTTATTAAAATGAGTTTCATTTTGAGACAAACATTTGAAAATTTCGTGTGTTGTTTTTTTGGCGTTTTGTCAATTATTTTTTTTACGATTGGGTAGCTCTATCTATCGCAAGTGGTGCGAAGTTCAGCTTCCTCTCTGTGTTTTAATTTGACTTAATTTTTTGAATTTGTAATTTTTGTCGTTATATTTGGTCATAATTTTTGACTGTTTATTTTTTGTTTGTTTTAATGTCTACTGTGTAATCTAGTACGGATTTTAGTCGGCCTAACTATGAACGCACCAAGTATCCTTCTGCTTTAAGCAATTAAGAGTAATGAACGTAGTGAAGTTTTTTGAATAGGTCTTGCTGATTTTTTTTTTTCAGGAAAAAGTTCTAAATTATTGATGCACTTAACTTAGGTATAGTGCACTTTTTGAGTTCAATTGAAATTCATCTGCTGAAAGGCACGTAAATAGCATTCTCCAAATACGAACGTGGAAATGGCGAGATAAAACGTGAACTATTTCTAGTTTCGAAGGTGTTATTTAATTTTTAGGTTTCCAGCGGAATAAAAACTTTACCTATTGATTCTGTGTTCTCTAGTTGCGTTCATGTTATCAAAAAAGCACCGCGCATAAATTGTTCTAGAAATTCAAAGAGTTTAAAGGGTATCTATTTTTCTCTTTGAAATTCGAAGTTCGAGAGATTTTTTCAACAAAGTCAGTGTTTTTTATGTTTACTTGCGTTCATTACTCTTTTCCAATCTTCGATTGGCTATGTTTTTAACTATAAATGAAAGTTGTTCAATAATTTTTTTAAATTTTCATCGAATTTTATCTTGAAGAATTTCGTTTTTGTTTTTTTTTTTCGATCAAATTGATCGGTTGAAGTAATTTTTTCTGCTTTTTTGTTTCAGTTGGTATTGGGCGAAAAGACATCGAGTTTCAAAATTTTATAGCTCAAATTTTTCTATGACTGGAATTTGCTTTCTGTGTATGGCGACCCACCCAATTATTATTGTCTCAGTTGCTTATTGGTAAATAATTCTTAATGCTTACTTAACGCTGCTCATTGTGTTTTGCGACATTTTTTTCCCTCAAATTGTTTATCATTCTAGACAAACGTATGAATTTTTGTAGATCTAGTGTCGACGTTATTTGAAGTATTTTTTAAAAACTGGCAATGCAATGTTTTTGCTGATCGCAAGTGTTTCTCGAGGCTAGCAACAACAACCTGTTTCGCCTTTGTTTAATCAATGAAATGAAATTTTCTCACTATGAATTTTTATCGGGCAGTATGATTTTGATTTTTCAAGTTGACTTTCAAATTCGTTTCCCAAGTTGCGATCTTCGTTATCAGAAGCGACAGTAGCGCAAAAAATGCGAGCTTCTAAGTTTTATTGTGGCTTTTATTGTTTTTCGATTTTTCTGCTAAATCAAACTATTTATCTGTCCAATTTTCGTATTTCTTTATTATTTTGGCGCTAATGAATGTTATTCCGAAAAAAAGCAAAGGTAGCTCGACTGGTACGAGAATTTTTTCCGTTAAACTTACTTAACTTTTAACTAGTTTAATCTCCTCGTTGCTTTCCCTTTCTTGCTACCCATTTTTCCGTAAGCGCTACTTATTTTCCAGTGTTTTTGATATAGAATAAATTGAAGACATGATACAGATGAATTTGTCCCTCTGTTTTTGTGCTGGAAGAAACCCGGATTTTTGGGTTTCGTTTCAATTTTGTGACGCATTGGTTTCTTCTAAGGTAAAAGTAAGTGTATGTTATTCTGACGTGTCACAAATTGGCGAATTCAAATATCAAAACCTGTCTTCTTACGTCTAAATGTGTTTATTGACGTCACTCACTTTGCGTCATCATTTAAACAACTATAATTTTAGCTGAAGAGGAATTAATGGTGGTATGTATAACATCTAAAGTATAATCTATTTATCATAAAATAGTTTTAAATAATGTTAACTATTGTGAATACTACAACAATCTAGTAAATTGTTTAACTTAACGCAAGTTTGTAATCTACTTTTTTTCTGTTAGGTGATAATTTGGTAGGTTTATTCTATTTCAGGAATTAACTTACTTGATTTATAGATTGAAATGATATAAATGCAGTTTTCAGATACATATTTGTCGTGATATCTGTTCAAGAAATTGTATATAATCTTCATTTACCAACAACAGCTGACTAATCATTTTGGTACACGTTGGCTGGGGTCAATCAGTAAATTCGGCATCTGGGCGTGATGTTTGGACCTCGTTTCGGACGTTTTTCGAGGTACCCTCATGGTAGAAGAGGGGGAGGAGGGAATGGGAATCTGGGTCTGCTGCTACTGGCCTTCCAGATAATGCAAACTGGGATTGACAACATCCCCCTGGTTACTCTGGGCACTCTGTGTTTGAATTGCGCAATCTACCTCAGGTTCCCTCCAAACTGGATAGTCCCCCTCGGAAAAGCTTGTGTCGGCTTCACTCAGGTTACAACATCATAACAATAGCTATGATTCAAATGGTGATGAAGTTTCCTGCAGGTTCCTAAAGTGTTTAAAACAGGAGTTTTTTTCATTTGTGCGATTCATTGTCGATAAGTTCTATACAACTTTCTATCATTTGATTGTTCTTTGGAGTTTTATGATTTGCAAATTTTCTTGGAGTTTTATGATTTGCACTCGCATTTCGGTTTTAAATGAAAGTTTTTTTTTTAACTTTGCGCTGATTTTTCGGCTTCCGAATCGACTTATGAAATCGAGTGTTAGAATTTGATCCAGTACACTTATCTAACGTAGACACCTCGACAAGCGTGCAGCCATCAACGGCTGCACCTTAATAAATGTACGGGTTCTTTTGGGTTATACCCTCCCTAAATGAAAAACAGAAATTAAAGTTTTTGTAACAAAGTGGAATCGATTTTTACTAGGAAGGGCAAGTATTATTCTGGGGCTTGTCAAAATGGAGCAGTTTTACTTAATTCAGCCTCAAACTAGCTCCTTTTTCTTTTTTTTCCCAGGGGGTGTTTAACCGACAAGACTCAATGTATGCGTAACTGCATGCATTCAAGTCATGGTAGTCAAATGGCAGGGGTTTTCAAAAGTTACTTGCTTGCAATGAGATTCCAATTAATTCCAAATTAATTGATGAATTGCTAGGAATTCTACTTAGCAATTATTTATTGCAAACTTCTGTTAAATGCAATTACATTGGAAAGAATTGAAAAGAGCTATGACTTGAAAATAACAAAGCGCCTTCTCTTGAAGCCGAAATTACATCAGAATGACGTAAATTACATCACAATTACGTAACAATTGCGTAAAAAGAGTCACAATTTGTCGCTAAATTGCAGAACACTATTAATTTTCGACTTGTTAAGGTAATCTTATTTTCAGCGTGTTGGCCTGCCGCCGTATTCTTACAACACATGTAGTGAATTAGAATGAACGTAGTGAGTACACTTATATAGGTCTTGGTGATTTTTTTTGTTTGTTTTTTCCAGGAAAAGTCTTAAAATTTGTTCACGCTCAATTTTGATTTTTCACGGCATACTCTCAAATTCTCATTCAAGTTATCTCAAATTGGATTAATTTTATCGAAAAAAACGTTGTCATAAATTGTTCTAATTCAAAGAGCTTTGAGGCCATTTTTTTCTTCGAAATTCAGAAATTGAAGGTTTTTTTTTTTTAAAAAACGGTGTCATTTTTTTCAGTTTCCTTGCGCTCATTACTCTTTTCCGACTGTCAGTTGGCTAGAAACATTTTTTTTGAGACCTGTACAGGATGCAATTTAAAGTATCTAAACAGCTGCAATAGTCAAACGAAAATACAGAGGCGTCCGTTTTGGATAGCTGCATGTTGCGGCCCACCTGCTTGTTAGTCCCTATTAGCATTTGTGCTCATTAGCTAACCCATGTAAAAGAATCCAGCTGACTCGCACGCTTTTGTTATTTTTAACTCAAATTTGTTCGCTCAGATACTTTGCTATTGTCCGATTGTTCAGTTAGGCGAAAGTGATTTTTTCATTCTCCAACAAATCAAGTGCTATTTGAAATTAAATGAAACTATGAGCAAAATTTTTTATCGCTAGGGCATCTGATTTTTATATTTTCGGCCTTACTTTTTCTGTTTTCTTATTTTTGACTGTAGCACTGTGATCGGTTGAACTGTCCTTGTTTACTGAAAATGTAACGCGCATTGCTAGTATTTATTACCTTTGCCATAAGCAAAGGTGTTGCAATCGGGTACTAGACTTTTTTCTCGCAAACAATTTTGCTTGTAGAATGGTCAATTTTAGTAAGTATGGCAATCTTCATCCTCAATAGCTGACATGCTCAACTTATTGAAAATTTAATTGAAATTACTATTATTTTCAGGCAATAATTTTTTTCAATTAGCGTCGCTGTTTTCTTTCTAGTTCTGGTCCGTTCATTTTACGTTTTTTAGGCTTGCGATTAGCCCGTTTTCGTTGGTTTGTAGAAATTGAAGAACAAAACCGTTTTCGTTGGTTTGTTGCCTTTTATTAAGAGTGTGTAATTTTTTGAGCTGTTTTTTTTTTCAGAAAAAATTTGATCATGCTCAGTTTTGATTTTTCGCGGTTTGACTCTTGACTTTTTCAAGTTCAGTTCATTTCCCTTGCTAAAAGGAAGACAAACTCGGCTATCGAAAAGTGTAAAGGTCACTAAGATCTTAATTGATTTCTAGTTTCGAAAGTGAAGTTTAATTTTCAGATTTCGCAGCGAAAGTAAAAATTGACTTATGGATCTATTTTTCTCAAATTGGGCTAATTTAATCAAAAAAGTGTCAATCATAAATTGCTCTACATGTCTGTTTTTTGTTATGTTTTCCTTGCGTTCATTGCTCTTTTCCAACTGTCAGTTGGCTATGTTTGAAATAGCGCTGACCTTCAGTCGAGACGAACTTTGCCGTCATTCCGAGACGATTGTTTTTTCTACAACTGATTACTTAAATGTTTTGCGTTTAAGTTTGTATTTTTTCTATGTCAGAAGCACTTAAAATTATGATCACTCTGGAAAAAGTTTGAATTAATTGAATTTTGTACTTAATCAAATAAATTTCTGATTTTTTTTAAATGCGATTCAATTCTTCATAAGTTAACTGTGCTGCATTTAAATTCACAGCCCACAATTTTGTGTTAAAGACGAGCTTTCATAATTATTGTGTTGGAGTTGTGAATTTTATCTCTAACTAAATTGCAAATGATACGAATCTTCGATTCGCCTAGCTGGACTTTTTTAATTGCTTACACTTTCAATCCAACGTCAGTTTTAATCCAAAATTCAATTTTAGGTTTGGTACTTGAAAGAGTGGAAGCGTCTGCTGCTATCGCCCTGGTATCATACTTCAGATATGCATCTGTACTACAACATGAGCAGCCTCATCTGGAAAGGGCGTAAACTGGAGCTCAAATTTGGACCAATCACATTTGCAGTCACCCTCGCTCTCTTTTGCTTCCTCTCGCCGCTGATTACTGTGGGACTATCGTTTGCAGCAGCCGAGATATTAGAAGACGTTTCGTATCTCTCTCAATGTGCGGCTGGGTTCTCAGGCGTTCTGTTTGCCCTGAAGGTCCTCGTGTCCTATTATGAATCGGAGAGAAGCTTCACAACAGTCATGTTCTTTACAGTGCCGACCAGAATGGCGTTTTGGCTCGAATTAGTTCTCATCCAGATTCTCGTTCCGAACGTCTCATTTGTAGGTCATCTCGCAGGAATCCTGACCGGACTGTTGTATGTGAAGGGACCACTGAAGCCTGTAGTGAAGTCAGCATCTCGTCTCATAGAATCCATATGGTGTAAGATATTTTCTCCAATTGTAACACATCAAGTCAAATCAGAACAGAGTTTCGCCCCGAATTTGATCCCGCTCACAGATTCAATAGCGTTTTAACACTAGCTCTCTAGTAGCTTTCAATAGCTCTCTAAATTTTCGCCAAGGCGCGGCAGGTTTGCTAGCGTATAAAAAGGTTATCGAAAATAGCTACTTTCTGGCATGTTATTAAGAGTCGATGAACGTAGTTCAGACTCTCATATAGGTCGCGATGATTTTTTCGGTTTTTTATTCTGGAAAAATCTTCAAATTTGTTCACGCTCAATTTAGATTTTTCGCGGTTTGACTTTTGATTTCTTTTTCAGTTCACTTCATTTCTTTTGTTAAAATAAGGCAAACTCCACTATCGAACAGCAAAAATGTAAAGATCACGAAAAACGTGATCGACTTCTAGTTTCGAAAGTGGAGTTTAATTTTCGAATTTACCAGCGAAATAATAATTTTCTCAAACTTTCAGTCCAGTTTTCTCAATTGGGTTAATTATATCAAAAAAAAATGTCAATCATAAACTGTTCCAGAAATTCGAAATTTGAGATTTTTCAAAAAGTAAGTCCGTATTTTTTTTCGGTTCGAGTGCGTTCAATTCTTTTCCAACTTTATGTTGGCTATGTTTCTGTATCCAACGAACCCTGCCTAATAATTTCCTCTAAGAGCTTTTGGCGCGATAGATAATTTCGACAAACTTATACGCTTATAAATCTGTAGCGCCCCGGCAATTATGAAATTTAGAGAGCAATTTATGTCAAATACATGTAGAGGATGCTTTTTTATAGCTGTATCCAAGGAATGTATTTTTGTTGTGAATTATTAAAAGAGTTTTTCTTTAAAAAAAAAACAAGTTTTTTAGTCTTTGTGAAAAGAAATATTTCTTTTAGATGGTCAACCGAATCGTCGATCATTTCACAGCTCGGGAACCACGGGGGGCTATCATTCCAACAGCAGAAATAACAGTAACTACCACAATAGAGACCGAACTAGTTACAACAGAAGCGAACCATATGCGGGTGGCATGTCTGATCAAGAGCAGACAGAGAGGGCTATGCGAGATAGTATGACGTCACATCACCAAAGTCAACAGAGAAACTCGAATGTTTCAGCTAATAGTAGAATGTACCCGGATCTGAGCGGATACCGATACGAGCACGAACCCTCAGCGCCCCCTCCCCCTGAGTATGACGATCCGAATCCAGGAAGTACAATTTATAACGATGAACCCAGAGATAACTACCCAGATATCGGGTTTGTACGGCAACAAAGACTGAACAGATATACTTGACATTTAATGTTTTCTTTCATGATGATAATGGTGATCATCTATTCTTTGGATCGTTTAGTTAGTATATAAATTGAAATTTGTTTGTAGTTTATATTTTCTTCCGCAAAGGAACATAGTGAATTTGCAAGTAATACGGTGGGTACACTTTTTCGAACCTAACTTGCACATTTTAGTTTGAACAGAGAGCGAGAAAAGAAAAGCTTCTTTTTTGATTTATCCGCTCATAAACAAGAAAAAGTTAGCGAAAAAATTATTCTGCTTTAATTTGCGCAACATCAAAAAACTTTACAGAAGAACCCCATGCTAGAGTTTGTGTGCAAATTCCAGCCAGCCTCTTTCGTGCACTGGTGTCAGTTTTTCAGCATTTTGAAGCAAAATTTGGATGATTCAGAAAAATATGATGGAAAGCGTGCAAAATTGTTGGTTTATTCAGTTATTAGAAGAAAATCGAAGCTTTCTGTACTTTTTTTTGTTAATTCTTAGCTATCAGAATAAAAGGAAAGCATTTCTTCCGATCAAAATTTTTCCACTCCTTGCCAATCAAATTTGCCTTCTTGATGGTTAATGTTGATAATGTCCAAAATTTATGGTTTTTTATACTTTGTTTACCAACAACTTTTTTGAGATAGATTAATGAGCAGTCGTAACGTTCTAACTCTCCCTATAATCAATATCAAAAAGGTTATGGTTCTTCTGCAAATATTTTTGATGTTTTTTACGACCAATTAAGGCAGAAAGATATTTTTTGCTTTCTTAATTATGAGCGGAAAAGATAAAAAATATTTACTTTTTTCCCGCCTCGTGCTGAGTAGTGCGAAATTAATACATCCAATTAGATTGCCTGAATTCAATGTTGAAAAATTTATAGTACGGGATAAATTGCCAGGACGAAGTGAATTTCACTTGTATGGGTCTCTTTTTTCGCGGTTTGATTTATGATTTTTTCTTTCAATTTTTTTATTAAATTTTCTTAATTAAATGAAGGCAAACACTATAGAGCAGCAAAAATGAAAAAATCGCGATAAACGGGAAGGACTTTCAGCTTCAAAAATGGAATGAAGTTTTCTGATTTCCAAGCAAAATAAAATAATTGGACCAATTTGCTCCTATTAAACTAATACCTATTGATCCAATTTGCTCTAAGTGAGATAATTTAACGCAAAATCGGCCAATCATAAACAATATTTGAAATTCAATTTGTTTCAACACGATATATTTTTTTGCAATTCTAAAGATGAAAATTTTTCAATCTACTTTTTTCGGCTTCCCTGTTCTTTTAGATTTTTCCAAGTATCTGTTGTCTGTGTTCTTCAGATCTATGATTCCCGTTAACGATTTCCAATAACAAGAATTGAAATGACGCGAAATTGAGGCTTCATTTCTTTTAAATAGTGGATATATTTAGTAGAATTCCCAGAGGAATATCAAATAAACTACTTGAGCCAGTTTGCGCTAAAGTCTTACAGCTGTTGTGATTATCAAGTTTTTTTAAGCGGGTACTTAGATTTTTCCTCTAAACATCAACAGAGACATCTCCTTACCTTTTGATTTTTTAAAACTGATTTCTAGCTGGTAGCTGGCTGAAACTATCTATAGACTATTATGGAAATGTTATGTTTCACACGTAGCAAAATCCAATTTATACTAAGACTGCTTGTGTCGCAGAGCCATGCCATGAAAGTTCTGACTACCCTGTACATGATCTCAAGTACCCAAATCTTATTCGAATTTAGTTTATTGTTCCGACTTTCGATACGAAAGTAACGGAATATTTGTGCTCGGGGTGGGTTTTTTTTTCTTCAGACAAATTTCGACTTTTTAACTAGCCATTATTGACGGAATTTTTTTATATCATTCGAAAGGTATTGTTGTCCTGAGCTCAAATTTGAAAAGATATTTCACCTGTGATTATTTTTCGTAAAGTTACGGGGGTTTAAATATTGCAATTTTGGCCAATTTGGGACAATTAACGCGCGATATTTCGCGCTATTAACGCGTAAGCGGAGAGTTAATCCGTCTTAGAAATCGTTCCAAATTGGTTAAAAGAAGCTTATTTGCCATAATTGGTTTGTTACAAGGAGTGAAATCTATCCTTTTGTACTTTATATGGCGTGTGGGGGGATGATTTTCATAAAAAATTTCAAATTTTAAAAAAAAAAATCATTTTTTTTATTTCATTGAATTTTTTAATGTTATTACTGCTCCATAAACCTTAAAAGGCGGTCGGAACATTCAGGGCTTCGCCCTGTTACGAGCAGTCTTGTTGAACCTTCATAATCAATGTCAAGGATATTTTAATCGAAAACTTCTTTGTCAAACTTGGATTGTCTTTTCTCGAACTTGCCTTAAAAAGATTATTGGGTTTCGTTGTTCTATATTTTGTGCCTTAAACAAATTTTTTTTAAAGGAATAACATGAGGTTAAGTTGTGTTCACAATCAAAACTGTGCATTCACTATTTTAACTTAAAAGCATTTTGATAGGTTTTACACTTGCGAGAGCAAGTTTCTTGTAATTTGGAATTAGATTTTTTCCCGTAAACAACCTTTGTCATCTTTTCTAATAGTATTATCTTTTTTACTCTCATCGTTATCCCGCGCCCTTCTCTTCTTTATCACTTGAAGATTGTCGGCTTTATCTTGCGCTTCACATTCCGGTATTTTTTTTTAATTAAAATTTTTTTTCGGCTCAACTTGTCTGCTCAAAGTTTGTCGGATTCGCCTCGGTGTTAATGCTTCGCCTGTATTAATACTTGCTTAACAAGTTTTCTGAAAATTGGGTTTCTACAAAATTGACTTCAGCTGTTCGGCGAATAGCTAAAGATTTCCGGAAATTTGTTTCATGATTCTTCCTTTTCAAGTTAGATTTTGTTCCGACTTTCGAAGAAAATGGAATATTTATGCTCGGTGTGGTTTTTTATTCAGTCAATTTTTGCCGATCGAAATAATAGTTTTCGACAAAAATTGTTATACCCCAATGAAGATATTGACTTCCTGAGTTCAAATGTAAAAAGATATTTTACCTCCGATTATTTTTTGTAAAGTTCTGGGGGTTTGAAAATTGCCAAATTGGCCATATTCTGGACTAATTTATGCGCGCTTTGAAGAATTTTTTCATATCGCTGAGAGCGTAACGCAAATTTTTTATGCGTGGCGAATTATCCCGCACAACAAAATCGTTCCAAATTGAACTGAGGCTAGCTAATCAGATCGATCGGATTTATTTCGTACGACTCAACATCACACATATATTGTCCAAAATTTATAGATTTTCAATATTTTTCCCCCAAAAACTATTCGATATGAATTAAGGGACAGTCGGAACATTCAGGGCCTTGCCTTGATATACGAGCAGTCTTGTTGTTCTGACTTTCATAACGAAAGTAACGGATATTTGTGCTCGGGGTGGGTGTTTTTCTTCAGACAAATTTCGACTTTTTAACTAGTCATTTTTGACAGAATTTTTAAAATATCATTCGAAAGCTATTGTTGTCTTGAGCTTAAATTTGAAAAAATATTTACCTGTGATTATTTTTTGTAAAGTTATGAGGGTTTAGAGTTTGCCATTTTGGCCAATTTGGGACAATCAACGCGCAATTTAATTCGCGCTATTAACGCGTAAGCGAGATTTAATCCGTCTTAGAAATCGTTCCGAATTGGTTGAAAGAAGTTTTTTTGCTATAATTGATTTGTTACAAAGAGCGAAATTTATCCTTTTGTACCTTATATGGCGTGTGGGGGGATGATTTTCAAAAAAAATTTCATTTTGTTTTATTACATTTAACTTTTTAATGTTATTACTGCCCCATAAACCTTAAAAGGCAGTCGGAACATTCAGGGCTTCGCCCTGATACGAGCAGTCTTGTTCGTAGTTTGTTATGAGGTTATTTTTGCCGCAACTTCAAATGCTGTAGTTACATTCTCCGGGAAAGTTCGCGCATCATTGTAAATTCAAGAAGCCGTGTAATTATCTGTCTTCCCTGTGGAATCATAAATTTGTTGTTCTATTTTTTAGCTCGAATTGATCGTTTCACCAGTTTTTAATCAAGATATTAGTTTGATTTTGAAAGAACTTCACTTCACGGTGATGAAATTGGTTGGAGGCAGTACGTATTTTTAAAGCATTTGGTATCAAAGCAGATCGTTTTTGTGGCTTTGTACTTGTTCGTGGCTTTTGGTGTTTATTTCGAAACAAAACGAGACAAATTTAAGCTCAGTGTAAAATAAAATTTTCTACGGTTTAATTTAAGCAATTTTGGAGCGAGAGTCTGGTTTGTGTGATTTTCATTGCTATTATGGAAACCCATAGAGAAGAGATTGCGTTCGGCTTACGTTTACACAAAACATAGTTTTTAAACGTACCGCCAAATGCTTTGTGGACGCAACCCCTATAAATTGTTTCAAGGGACAATGGGTAACGAAAATAGTTAGGAACACTGTTCAAACGAAAAACTTGAATTTTAGAGACGCTGCTTGCTTTTGATCCAAAAAATTTTTATACAAGGGATCTTTTGGTATGGTATCTTTTGTCATGGGAGCTTTTGGTATGGTATCTTTTGTGCTGACACCGTAATAACATTAAAAACGTTAAATGTAAAAAAAAAATGAAAATTTTTTAAAATTTGGAATTTTTTTATGAAAATCATCCTCCCACACGCCATATATTTTACACGAAATATGGGGGCTATATATGCTATAGATTGGTTGCAATTAATGAAAGAGGTCCCCAAATTATAAAGTGCCTCAAGATCTTTTATTTTTGACTTCGGTGATGTCAATTGAACCATCAAGTTGTCTATTGGTTCACTTCGTTAAAGTCAATTGCTCCTCATTAGTAATGCGCGGGTCGTCTCTCTTCTTGAGCAAGGAGCGCAATCTATCACCCTTGTTACGGTACAGGGGGCTATCATGTGATAGAGCCCCAGGATCTACTTAACAATCACCCTCCCTTTGGCATCTTCTAAAAAATTGCGACCCCTATAAATGAAAGCAGTAAATTAGCACTAAAGCGTTGCATTTAAAATTCGAATTTTGCTGCAATCTGATTCGACTACTTAATCTACTTAACTATTGCCCCCCCC